AATGTAAAAAGAGTCTTAGTTTCCGAAAGAATAAGGGCGTTTTCTTTAGACATGCAATTCAAAGGGTAATGATTACTGTAAGACGCTGAAATTTAAAGAGATGTTCTCGGAAGTGTGTGCTAGTTTTTATTCTGTAATATGAATGTTTTAGATTGCAGTTTTCAAACTTAAGAGATTAAGGTTCAAATACCAACAGTGGCCGCACGATCTTGTAGTATACGGTAACTCCTTTGTAATTTTGCATTGTTTGCTTAGTGCAATTTTTTAATGACCTAGCATTATAATTCTATACATTCTCGCGCTCATGATTCTAAAAACAAAAGATGGATTCCGTATTTTATGGGTTATTGAATAATAGCTGAAATATCATCGAAGATTACCTGCATAGGGATTGACATTTCTATAAAAAAAATTTTAATTAAAAAAACTTTCTTTTCTTTTTTTTTTGGGGGGGGCACTTTTTATAATATGCTTCACATTGTTTAAAACAAAAACCAAATTGTCAAATAATTTATGATTGTTTGATTAATTTACTTTGCATTCATATAGCTATATGATAAAATATGTTTCTACACGCTTAAAGCCAACTTATTCAGTAACTGAGGTTCTCACGTAAATATATATATATAATAGGAAGAAATATTCTAGTGAGCTTTCTAAAATCCTATTATTTCATATTTTTGCAGCATTTTGCGCAAAATATTTTTAAGACCAAATAAAATAGGTTTTACGTCACATTACTTGTTAGCTTTTCAATTTCTATTTCGATTTTGTATATATATATCAATACAGCAGAGTCCCGCAAACTCGACTCCCGATATCTCGACATTCTGTACAATTCGACAACTTTTAGGAATTTTTTTTAAGATATCTCAAGGCCAACAGAGAAAGTATTACATATAGTACATGTAATTATTATTTTGTAGCACAAAGGAAAAACCTCATAGAACAAGATACGTTTGCGAAACGTGCAATGTGGGTTTATGAATGTACCAAAAAGACAAAACACGCTTTGAACACACACACACACACAAAAAAAAAAAAAAAAAAAAAAAAAAAAAAAATTGTTCCTTGATATTTAAAAACAATACTGAGTTTTTTTTTTTTTTTCATCTTTACCGATTTTTTATCCATTTATTCGAACGTCCTTATTGTGTACTTTATGTTTTCACTGTTATAGAAAAATTATATGAATGTTTATTTTCTCATTTTTTTCTGACGATTTGCTTTGTAAAATAATGTAAAAAATGTATACATAATGCAATTCTTAAACACATATTTTACAAATTCGCAAATTTCCTCATTTATTGGAGATGCGCACGGGAAAAAGGTAAGTTTTTTTCCCCTGTTACCTTAGTAAGTTTTCAAGTCCTAGACGCGCGCTGGTTTGACAGTGCGACCACCACCCACAGATCAATGGGCAAAAGTAGATTTTTTTTAATTCATGTATTATTTGTTTCTAGGATCATAATATTCGGTTTCTAGTGTGTTTTTTATTTGAAACATTATAAAAGTAACATCGTGCGCATCAAAGAGTTCAATATTGAGAATTGTATATATCAGTAGAATTTTAAGCCATACTTTTATGATACATAAACATTGCATTTTTTAATAATCATGTATTATTCTTTTGTGTTTCAAAATATATGAAAAAAATAGTTTAAAATCGAAAAATCAAGTTCTTGTAGTTAAGTACAGAAAGAAATATATATGGTTGTAGAGTCATTAAGTTATTTTGGAGCAATGCTTTAGCGTGGACTCGAACCGGAACCTCTCAAATACGCGCCGAGTGTGCTATCGTTACACCACGAAGGCATACAGAAAGGAGGGATAAAATACCTTATAATGGTTTCAGGAGCAAAGTAGATCATATTTAAATTACTCTGTTGATTAATATGAAAAATGATTAATTAAAAACAGTTTTTAAACAATATGAAGAGAAAAATATAAAAAGTAAGGAAACACCAGTACTGAATTTAAAATTTTGCAAAATTCAACCTTTATATTGGCAATATATATATATATATGCGTGTGTGCGTATAAAACCTACACTTACTTAACACAAAATCTGAGTTTCTTAAAGCAATTTATTAATTGTTCTCTGTCTATTAAAAGCGAAATAAAATAAACTAAGTATTTTAAAAATTAATGAATGGAAGATGCCCAAAGATTATCAATTGATTTAAAAATTAATTATTATGATCTTTTTTCCTTTCGAAATTGATTGAAAATGCTTTGGAAATTTATAACAGAGAGGTAAATGAAAGCTATCACACCAAAAAAATTATTATTCGCAATGAACATAGCACGAGTATTTCATTTTTAGATAATTATACTTGCAATCTAATTTAATTAAATCTATGCTTCATAAATAATTAGATTATTTCTCTTACTTGTAAAATTAATAATATTATTTTATTATAAAAATTTAAAAAGTAGAAAGATATTCCATTTTTTAACATTTTGAAAACTTTCAGACGCTCTCCTTTTTCTTAACAAAACAGTAACTGCAAAATGCAGTGATAAAATATACACAAAAAATACTGCTGAAAAATATACTAATAAATCAGGATTTATTCAAGAAAATAAGCCTAATTCATTTTAGCCGTTAATGCACCTAAAGAACAATGACACTACTATTTAGGATAAACGTAGGCATAATTAGTTAATTAGATATGACGGAAAGACTGAAAGAATACCTGTCGAAGAAGAGAAATCTTCATGCAGCTCTTTCTGTGGGAAATTAACACAACACATACTGGCGTACAAAGTTAAGGTTATGAACACAAAACACGTGATATATATCTCGAAAAATAATTGGTTTATTTGTAAGGAAATTTTGTATAGATGAGCAATGCTATGAGACACTTAAAAATATCCGTATACTACATCGGATAAATGTTTTTCAAAATGAAAAATAAAACGGCTAAAATATAACACATATTTCTGAATGGTCTGGTTAATAAGTAAGTGACCATCTCGCACAGTTTTGCATGTCTCACAATATACCCTTATACCAATGACGGTGTTTACCATAGGTTGGGTCAGCATACCCATAAGATTCTTGCTTTTAAAGGAAGTATGAAATCCTCTTATAGCCAAACAGCTCGCGCTGCGTGACAGCATACTGTATTGGGGGCAGTTGAAGAGTTCCTGTGGCAATCGAACCCATTCCTGCAGCAAGGCAGTTTTCAACTCCCAGATGGTTCTCGGAGGAAGAAAGCAAGATAAAATTGCTCTCCCAAGAGCGTCCTCGACATGCTGTATAGAGTTAAGGTCAGGAGATCTAGCTAACCAATCCATGCGGCGAATATCCTCATTTTCCAGAAAACCAGCTCAGCCATATGCGGACAAGCTTTGTCGTCCATTAGCAAGAACCTAAGACCAGCTGCGCTCCTGAAAAGTCAAACATAGGGCTGTAAGATCTCCTCCCTGTATCACTCAGGAAAACTTTGTCAAACATATGTAGAGGTATGCAGCAGTCCAACATAATGCCTACACAAACCATTACACCTCCACCACCGTAATGACCCTTTTCCCTCATAAGGAAGGGTTAGTATCATATTACAGGTTCTTTCCAGATTCAGGTACGCCGAAAATCAGTGTCCAGGCTGAATTGTGACTCATCTGCAAAATGCACCGGGCTTCACTGAAGTCTGTTCCAAGGCGCATGTTGTCTGCACCATGCTGAACGCGCTCTCTTGTGTACTACAGTGAGCGAGACGGGAACAGTGGCTCTTCTGGTATCCAACCCTAACTTATGAAGCCTTTGGACTGTGAAATTCGGGTTCCAAGGGCAGCATACAGCTCATACGAGAGCTGTAAAGCTGCAGCAAAGATTTGTTGTGGCTATGAAAGTGCCAATAAAGATTCTCATTCGTGTTTGTAGATCATGAGTGACCTTATCCAGGTCTTCCGCATATGAATTCAGTGACCTGAAACTTTTTCTACAAACTGAAGAGGACATTTGGCGTTACCCTAAGCTCTGTAACCCCCTGCGCTTGTGATTGTCGGTCGATTAGAGGCTTGTAATTGACTCCAATCTGTGGACAATTCACCATCTCATTTTGTCATCCACACGTTCGTGGCTACTCATTTAACGTGAAACCTTATGAAATTTACCCAACTCTTGCGATAAACACGGCGAATGGCGTGAAGGAATACGAGTACACAAATCGCCGAAAAACTCGCGTGTGCTTATATTCCTTCGCAATTACTGCTCCACAAACACGTACGTGTTAAGCATTCGTCTATAAATATTTGCACAATTCTCCGTTGGCCTAATAAGCACCTTTGCTCCAATACGTTTCGTAAAAATAGACTTAATTTTGCACACGAGCGTATTTCTGAACAAGATTTAGGTCCGGTGACTGCGTTGGCGACACACTGAAAATACTCTCGTTCTCCAGAAATTCGTGCTTCAATTTAACTCTTCTTGCCTTCTTGTTATCATCTATAAAAGTTCCCTCAAACAGCTGTCAGGAAAAGCTTCACATAAGCTTCACCAAATTAAACCCTAAAACGCTGAGCTGTAACATTGCTCGCATCAAAGATACGTAGTGTCGTACTTTTTCCTCCCACAACAAAGTAACCATTTCCATCAAAGCGGTTATTTCTTTAAGCTGGAGGGATGATAGCGGGCTCCAACCTATCTGTAGGTGAGAACTCGTCGAAAATTAGTCTGTGCACTGAATCTTGACCCATCACTGGAGAGGAAATGTTCGAAAATTGCCTATATCCAAGAATGATGTGTCTGAAGAGTTTAAAATGAAACCTTGTAATCAAAACCTCAATGAATAAGAGAGCAATCAGAAACTTGCAAGCAAAACCTCAGTTGCTATAGTAATTTTCGTAACTATTGCTAAACTATTTAGCTAATTTCTTTAAGCAAAATTTAAAATATTCAAAATATTTAAATGAATATAGTTTCACGAAATTTCTAGAAACATATATACTTTCTGGTTTTATGTTTTCGATTCTTAGGATAAACTGATACTCACTTGCCAGTCTGGGACGGAATTGTATTGCTAATTTGTAGCTTTGTAAGGCTTCTTCATAACGCCCTTGTTCCTGCTGCAGTATGCCACTAAAATAAAAGATGAAAAAAGAAAATATAATTTTAATTTTTGAGCATATTTTAGAATAGAAAATATTTTTAGTTACCAGTTGCAGGACTTCTGTTATAATTCAGGTAAAAGTTTCTAAGGAATAAAATTAAATGATTAATTATAATTATGAGCTTAATATAGAGGCAAGGAATCACCTCATGTTCAAAATCTTTCCAATTAAATAATTAATTAGACCACAGATGCGATTCATTAGCTTTTATCAGGAAGTGTCTATGTTAAATGGCCAATTGCTTCCATTCATGGGAAATTCAAATTAATTAACATACGCAACCAATCCTTTAATATAAACTCTGCTGCTAATATAATCTGTTGGACTAACTGTAGTAACAAGGGTGCCCTCTGGTGAGTAGCCAGAGAAATACTTCAGTAAAAGCCTAGTGATGAACCTGATAGCTTGTATCAGATTCTTGCTCTGTAATTTTCTTAAAGCTGAATATAATGTCCGTATCTAACTTAAACCTGTTAATAAATTATTGTTACACTACAAAGGACTCTTTTATAGCGCGAACCAAACCGACGCCCCCTCATACATATGTATTTCGAGCTGCCAGAAGGTGAGAGAAATATACTGAAGAGCTATGAATTAAGTTTTTGGCAACAACACGAAAAAAGAGAGGGGCTGCATCAGAAAGAAAAATATTAAAATGCACGTACTTAGGTACTAGATATTATTTTTATTTAATTCCATCTGCAGGATTAAGAAAAGCAGCTTTAGATTACTAAAGACACCATTATTCGGCCATCTTATAATTTTTGCTGTTGCACTACAAAGTGTAGTGAATACAAATTTTACCATAAAGCAGATGAAAATACAATTGGAACCACTTTTTTTTTCATTTTTCATCAGAAGTCATACTAACAAAATATGAAATGTACAAATGCAAACAATGCAGCATTTACATAGGATGTAATTGCCTTCCTCACTGTCCTCTTTTCTAAATTAAAAAAATCTGATGCGTACACCACATGACTTCCTTGTACGGAATATTAAATTATACGCAATTTTTGCTGCATTTCATTTAAACTTACTTCTCGACTTTCTTTAGATATATTTCTCATTCAATTAATTTCGCGGCAAGACAAAAGTCCATAAAACCATATCTTTATTAAAAATTGAAAAATATAGACAAATATAAAACAACAAATACAGTTAAAACAACTTTGGAAAAATTATACAATTAAATTTAGAGTTTCTACGCAAAAAATTCGGTCGGCAGGCAAGAAGACATATTTTTCGGTGCACCAAAAGTGAAAGTTTACTTTTAGTCCCACTCACCAAAAAAATGTGTGAAATATATCTCTACTTACATGAGGTATACACATACAATGTCTGATAGCCTAATTTTTATTTTTATTTCTCTGAGTTCACGTATGATGTTCAGTTCACGAATTATAAGAAACAATAATTTTCAAAAGTAGTAGAATTGGTTTTTTCTCTACAAAACCCCACATGATTGGATGATTTTTGGAAGGTCAAGAAACTGAATTCAGCATTCTGCTAAGTTTCAAATGTAAACAAATATGGCTGCTATCGTAAACAAAAATTAGGCTTAGCCGCACTTAAACAACTTTTAAATTGTTGATAATTATACAACAATGAATGGAGATTAACTAAAGTCATAAAAACTTAACCGCAAGGTAAGAACAACCTAATTCAATCATTTTTAAAGCAAAAATTGCAAAATTTACCAACATATAAGAATAAAAAAAGACTGAGTTCACGGAGTCGAGTAACAAAGTCGGTATATATATATATATATATATATACAATATTTACATACTTTTGGTGCTGCTGATTGCAACCAAAGTACAAGGTGCACAACTACATATTATAGCAGTCCTATATACAAAATGTCAACGTTCTGAGGCTACTTGTTTTTGAGTTAGGCCAGATACATACCTACATACGTACGTACAGACGAAATGAAAAAAATCTCTTCTAAATCCGTGCAATTTTAAATCAGTTTTATAATTCCGTTAATTTAAATCAGTAATTGGCAAAATGAATCTCTCATTCTATGCCGTGCAAGCTTCAAATATGTCCAAGCTTATACGGGGGACATCTTAATAAAGAAGTTACAAAATTTAAATAAATAGAGTAAAATAAAAATTACACAATCAGATAATTAACTTTATCTTTCATTTTGTTGTTAAAAACATATAAATTAGACGTAATTTATAGGGTATTTGCAGTATTTGAAACATGAAACTCTAATGAAAAATTAGTAGATAAGTTTGCTAAAATCTGCTGAAAATTGAAAATAACGACTGAAGCACTGCAAGGTATAAGCTTCAGAAATAAATTTTTATCCTGATTGTTCTAAATCACTACTACATAGAATTATATAATTGTCTTACGGTATCATTTTTAAGGACTCAAAACAAAGACTGAAAAATTACTGGTTGACTATCATGTCATTCATTTTTTTTTTTTAACTTGGTGATAATTTTTGAGCCGTGGAAAACTGTATAAACTATAAGTAACTTACAGTTACATATAAGCTATAAGTAAATGGACAAAACATCGTATGATTGCTTTTGTATCTCGAAGATGAGAAAAGATAAAACTTACAATTCATAGAAACAATTTAATAAAAAAATCGATGATTAGGAAGTATTACACTTACAGGTTGTAGTGGACGTCCGCCATGTTGGATCGGTAGGTAAGAGCCTTTTTGTATGCCCATTCCGCCTCCGCTTTTTTACCTTGTGAACTCAATATGTTGGCTAAATTCCCGTATGCTATGTAGAAGAAAAGAACATGATATAAGATACGACACATAAAATGGGTTAGTAAAAATACAGAAAGACAATATCATTGCAATTACTGAAAAAATACTGTAATATTTATGTCTTCTACTTTTTAACATCTCAAAAAGATTAATATCGTACAAAAGAACTTTCTTACAACATACAGATAATTTCGATATACTTTTCTTTTACATGCACAGTTTACGTATTTATATGATGTTTCAAATTTTAGAAGCAGATTTGATGGGTTGCAAAATTCTATTTCTTACAATGTATAAATTATACCATACAAAATATTTTGCTGTAACGCTCATTTATAGGTTCAGATTATTGTGATTGTTACTTAAGGTACATCAATCGAACTGAGAAAATAAGTGTATGATATATTCTTGACCTACCACATCTTTGTGAGAACCTTCAAGATTCCATGCATGGATTGCTTCTACTCCTTACATTACCATACCTTCGACACTGGATTTTTTCAGTCCTTTTTAAGAGACTTTGCGCGGTTAATACTAATGTGGCAGAAAAGCTAATTATTGCTCTGATTTACCGTATTTTACAGCATAATATAGCTCGCAAGCGCATCTATAATTTCCAGCTATATTTTTTTTAATTTTTAGGTATATTCGTCGTATAGCGCGCACCTAATTCTTAACGAAGAAACATAAAGGATACGTGTGCAATGCTGTTATCTTTTGAGGTCATTTATTCGAAGATTTGTCCTAGCCTTTCGAAGAGTGGTATACCGAACTGACAAGCGATATTTGTAACAATATGTGTGTGGGTAAAATGCTTGAGGGAGTAAATATTCCTGCAAAGAGGGTGAATTGTATTCAATGCAAATGTACAAAAGAATGCTGAAAAAAAAAAGCTGCTTTTAAAAACCCTACAGGTGATTTTAGAAAAGAGTAATATAATTTGGAGTAATAATTCACTTTTAACCCGAAAGAATTCGTTGAATTAGAATTCAGACGTTTTCTCTTTCTATACTCATTTGAAGCCATGATTTTGAAGTCAACATCGAAATACAGTTGATATGGAGTTCATTTTAGTAGTAATATGGCTCCTGACAAACGAAATAACATAGTTCTGCTTTCAAATGCAAAGTCATTCAGTTTGAGAAAGAAAATGTAAATCGTGCTGCAGCAAGGATGTTTTGGTGTCGGTGAAAGTCGGAACGGGTGGTAATTATTCATTTTTGAATCAGAGTAAGAATAATGGTGAAGATGAAACAGAAAGCGATGATGTGTGAAGATATAACGGATAACGGACTTTTCATGTTGTCCGACAATGAAAAGTTTTCAAGTTCAAAAGGTATGTCATTTCTTTTAAATAAGCAGCATAAGTGCATGTAGAAATGTATCTTTTGTATGCTGATTTCTTCCATATTTTTAATCTATCATTTTTGTATTCCATGTACAACGCGCACTCGTAAATTTTGGTCATATTTTTGGTGTTAAAAGTGCGCGTTATATTGTTTAGTAGGAATATACGGTATATCTGTACTTAAGCAAGGTATACCTATAGAGTGTCTGACAGTCAAATTTTTATTTTTATTCCTGTGGGTTGACGTATGATGCTTAGCTCACGAATTACAAGAAATAATAATTTTGAAAACAAGTAGAATTTTTTTTTCTCTATAAACAACCACATGATGTGGTATTCGAACACCAAAACTTATAATTGCTTCAAAAGTCTAATAAATGATAAAAAAAATAAAATAAAAACATGTAGACTTTCTTACTTCCTTGTACGAAGTAAAGGGAGCACTGTAATTGCGAAAACTTTTGGAATTATTTCAATGGAAATATCCATTTAATATAACGTGCCATAAAGGCACGTTTCTTCAGACATAAAGGCTTCTAATGCATACTCAGACATAAAGCCATGTTTTGCAAAAATTTGGTTTCATTTCCTTCTGTTATAAGATTTTTATCACACTTTTCCCGGGGCCTTTTTCGAGTGGGGCACCCTGTACAATAGTGAAATAAGCGTAAACTGAAGATTCTTAAACGAATGGTATACGAATATTGCTTAGCATATTTAACATTGTCATTCCTCACGAATTTGCTCAAAAAATTCCTTAAATATGCTTCAGTTTGTTTGATTGAACATTTACAGGCTGGCACTTACTTTAGCGTTAGTTTTTTTAAAACAAAGCAAGCTTAGGCGTAATCGTGAAACATTTTTATTGCAATGAATGATAGAGGCACTTTTAATTACAAATTTCAACAGTCTTTTTAATTCTTCTGAATAAATATAAAATGTATCAGTTTTTAATCAAAATGCATCCAACGCGTAAAAACTTTTGAATACTTCTTTTAAACAACGTAAAACAAAGAAACCGGAAATAATGCATTACAGTGAAGTCTTTCTGCCCGGTGAATAATCCATTAGATTAATTAGGAGTACATGATTGATGATGTAAGAGATTAACTAAGAATAATTAATTCTTTGCTCAAGTGGTACTTTAATTAAGAGTCACTGAATTTTCAATGCTTCTTTGCGTAAAATCAATTCGCTGGTTTTTACAGCTACAACTCTTCCTTACCATAAATAAAAAAACTTCCTTTATAAGTAATACCTCAAAATTTTACTAATTGCATACAATGCATGAAGAAGATTAAATTTATAATTATTTGTATTTCTCACTCTCAGACATACAGTTTAGGGAACACGTATGCTTCCTGGCTCCTTTTGTCTAAGATGAACTTCGAGGAACTTAGTGAACTATGTAAAGACTTATCGCTGAGTTCAACACAACTAAGACGTAGACTCGAGAAAGGTTAAAATACCCTTTTATTTTACTCAAAAAAGAATAACAGTCGGCCCCTTCTCGGGCTTACAACAAAGCCTCTTCTCGAATTTATACTCAGAATAAGAAATAAGAAATTAATTTATAATTAACTAAACCGGACTTAGCCGAAGCTAAACACAATTATCTAACGTAGTTGGCCCTTAAATTAAACTAGCCGTGGAATATCAAAAGGCACGTTATATATGGCCAAGAGTAACAGCTTCAAGAGTGACTTAGCCAGAAGGCAAACACGCGCTACTCATGACTCCTAGCACTCTCTGTCTAAGTTAGCTGAACCTTCCTTAAATACTTCTTCTAACTCATTTGCATTCAACGCGATTCTAAAACCTCATTCCCTTAGGGAGTTGTAAGTGTAAACAAGAATTGCTAGGAAAGAGTTTCAAAATTAAAATAACTGCTATAAAACTAAACTAAATAAAATAGCTTACAAACTGATATGTAGAAAACAATAAAATAGGTGAAGTTTTGGAAATTACTTTTTCTAATAGTATTGGATAGTATGAAGGATTTAGGAGAATGAAAGCTTATTAAGGATTATATGGGAATGAAACCTTATTAAGGATTATAGGGGTTTGGTTCGGTTTATTAGATTACGACAAAGCACTCGAGGGCTACCTGCCTTAAGGGAGGGATGCCTTCGTGGAGGACTTTTTAAGGGAAACTGGCTCGTATACACGTTACACATGGGGAAAACCACGAAAACACCCATGCAGCCAGCTCGTTCGCGGGATTCCAACCTCGGACCGAACTACCAGTGTTCAGCGACGTTACCGCTCGGCCGCTGGTGGGCCAAGGATTATAGGGGAATGAAGGCTTATAGGAAAGAATAACAAATTTAACAAAATTGGTTATTTAAAATAAATATAAATCCCTGCAAGGTAAACATTCATTTCCAAATGTGGCCTCTACGTTATTCCGTTTTACGGAAAATAAGAGATTTGTGATATAATACGGCAGGCGAGGACCAGGTGCAGTATTGTGATAGTAAATAGCAATAGCTACTGCAATGGCAATTAACAAGGCTCGCCTTAAAACAGCGATTCCACTCTGCAATCTTCCCAAGTAAACTTTCTCTAAGCATTCATTCTCTTGTTCCGTTAAGTTCAGATAATTACGTCTGAATATTAGATTCCTGTTGTGCGGCAAGACTATACAGAAGCTATTCTGGAGATGAAGTGCCATTTTTCACGTAGCACACTCATCAAACATATTTTCATTTGTTTTATACCTGAACCAGACCTACGCGTTGCACTATTACACGCAGTTATCCCTCGCTACGATAGGTCACGAATCTCCTTCTCTCTCGTAACATCCAGTAAGGTCAAGGTTGTATTTAAAAATGAAGGGCTATTCTGTATTCTCGAGGCGGAAACTATTTGCGGCGTCGCCAGCTTTACGTTTGATTAGTACGTATAATATTTAAGTCTGAACTAATATCTATTCCGATGACGTTCAACTAATAAATTATATTTGAAAGGAATTATGTAATATTTCGGGATATATCCTTTAATTATCTCGGAGATCCAGCCACGAAGATCTTAATCGCTGGGTGCTTGATTCTTCTTTCACACTTACTGTTGCGATTCGATGCGAAGAAGCCTTCTTATTGTTTAGTTAAAATGATGCTGTTACATTCAAATGACCGTTTTAAAAAAGTATAACTCTTTCATTTATTTTCCTAAAGAAATGCTGCCAAGTTTCTAAGCGTTTCAGACAAAGTCTGATTGTGTGCTTAAACGTGCGAAACTCGCAGTAATTTCCAGCATCCTTCAGTCTGAATGACTCAATCATTCATGTGTTAGGAAATTTTTGATTTATTCCGGTAATGTTCAATAACTAACAAGAGTAAAAGTTTTAACCATCAACACATGTAAAAGATATGAAATTTATTGCGTACAGAATAGTCTTCTAATAGTATTTCCAGTTAATATCACAGGCTATAACTATCAGTAAATTATTAAGAAGTGCAATAGGAATATGCGTCACAAAATCTGGCATGCATTATTCTGATTTTCAGTATTATAAAAATAAGTAAAAATAATATATATATACACCAAAGCGGCGCTTTTGTAACATTTTGTGTGTTACCCTGTACAGACATTAGGTATTTTTGGAAGCACTCAAGATGAAAAATTACCAACGCCTTCGCCGGGAATCGAACCGCGGATCT